AACCCACACCGCACCACGGACACGCATACATACGTAACCATCATGACGTCTCACCTCAAATAGCAAATGCCGGCATTGATTTTCATTAGTCTTTCTGCATCTCGCATGACCGAGCAAAAAAAAACGGCCTTACCACTCTTCGGGGCGCACAACGCACGTCCCGGCCGCACTCCATACATTATACAATTATATGGGGAAATCGGGTCACGAGGCATATTTTTGGCGTCGAAATTCTCACCCGTTCTCCTCCGCAGGTGAGACATACAGAGGGCTGATTGAGATGCCCAGCGTGCTGGCGATGCTGATAGGTTGGTGATGTGAGACATTGGGAGGAGACAGTGAGGCTTGGGAGGCTTGGATTGGTTATCTATCTTATCTACGCATAATAAATAGGTAAGGTCCCTGACCCTGAGGAGCAACCGTTTTTAGCCCGACATATGCATAAGACCAGCAAAAAGCCTCGTTTCTTCTTCCGGCTGCATACCGGGAAGTTAGTTTTAATTGTAAGTCTAAATTCCGCAAAAGTGCCGTTCTAAAGCCGAGGAGCGCTCTGGCGGGTATGATTGGTTATATGTTATATGGTATTTGGGTAAGACCGGCATGAGGCTGGGGTTTTGCATCGTTACCAATTGCCAAGAATTTAAAAAGTCACAGAAGAGGAAGACGGCATCCGATTCGCCCGCAACTTCGTTAAACGCCATGACGTAACGAAAGCGTACTCTTCAACGATCTTTTTCCCGAGTATATATATATATATATATGTATGTATATAAAACGGAACCTTGTGTAGTGCGGACGTCGCTATAGGTAAGCTTGTCCGCTAGAGCGTTTTTAACATCTCGATAAAACGGCTCGGGGCAGTTTCTTGGTTGTTTAATATGTTTAAAAGAGGTCGCCTTCGAAATTCCCTTTAGCTGATAGAGTTGCATATTTTACTTAGCAAACCTTCAGTCTCTGCTTCTATATCTAAACAGGGTCCTCCGCTCAGACCAAGTCCGTCAAGAATACCTACAAGCCTCGGGATGAACGCCGGCTTCCGTACTAAGATGTCGAACACGGGCGGCCGTAAAATGCCTTCAATCGACAGCCTGGCGAGGTGGGTTGGAGCGGCATGGGAGTTCTAGATCAAGAACACATCGCACCATTGGTTCCGCATAGAGTGGCGACTTCATTCAGATTTTGGTTTGGTAATGGGGAAATACCTATATCCCATACCACGTAGCAATCGTCAGCAACTAGTCATTGTCGTAAATTGAAGCAAGCTGCTAGTAGCTTTAGCTAACTTCATTTTAATATAACTCAGCCTTAAGTATATAAGTAACTGCCTAGTGGGCTATGACCGGGAATGGGACGCAGGTAAATAGCGATTCGGGTTTAAGATGCGACTATGCTACAGTCTGCAAGTAACGTCAGCCCTATCCACCAACTAGAGTCAGGAGATGCCTCTCTCTTGAAGATGGTGCCTTGGAAGCTAAACAATATTGTATGACGAGACTAACTGTAATCCCTTCCTTCAGCGAACGAACGACCCACTCGTTCCTCAGGACCCAAACGCGCAACTTGGTGCGCTCTCTCAATATTACGAGCTCCTCCCACGTAATATAGGAGGCCCGGACGTCATCGCCAATGGAGTCCGTACGACGGTCCACAACCTTGGTATTAGATACCGAGGGCAGGTCTGCTAGCCTCTGCAGCTTCCTAGGGCTATCGATGGGGCCACTGTCGCTTCTGGTTACTACTGGGGACCTGCGGTTGGGGGTCCCCAATACCTGCATGGAAGGCTGCAATCGAAGCCATCCAGACTTGGGGTTCCCAAGGTACGCGAGAGTCGCCTTGGTCTTGGGACTCGATTCTTGATTTCCAAGCTTGACCCTCAGCCCTTCTACCATTTTAAGTCACTACACCGAGGGGACATATGTACCTACCTATCCACTTGGTCTCATTGCTACTCCCTACCTAGGTATAGTTGATAGGTAGCTTTATATTATGGAGGTTTGCGCCCACTTCGTCAAAGTGTCACACATAAGTGCCCGTGCAACGAGCTCGATTTAGAATAGGTACTACATATATGAGAAGATAGGTAGTTTTCTAGATAGTGATACTAGATAGTCTCTAGACATGTGGAAGCCACACTACAGCACAGACCATGGCAACGGTTAGGTACCTTGTGTATGTACCTAATTAAAGATGTCATAACAGTATAGTGGGGGCGGGTGTCGTGCATTGGTGTCCTTGGTGGAGCTTACCCCTGTCGAAATGGTGGCTTGGGCACATTGATGGTCGCTTTCGTAATCTAATTGGGAGGAATGGAAGAGGACTTGGTAGGTACATACAGCATAGATTGGCGCAGAGTAGTGGAAAGGCAGCCCCGATTTAGCAATAAGCTCAAGAATCTAAGCCTCCAACAACGCCGGACCCGAGCCAAACTAAACTAAACTACACTACAACTGCAATTAATTACAGTGCACAGATGCATGAGCGACCATGATCTTTTGGTCCGACCACACACCACACTACCATACACTACTTTGTACCTGCGCCCGACGATTCGATCAGCCATCCATCCATCCATCCATCCGTCCCATCCATCCCATCTCCACCCCTCTTCCCTACCGGCCGCTCGCTCGTGTCGTCCTATCGACGACTGACGATTGACGACTGACCGGACGACGACGACGACGACGCTCCCACCCCTCCTTCTCCGCTGAGGTAGTTGTGGGTAGGTGAGCAGGTGAGCAGCAAACTACCCGAGAGTGCTGCCTCCGGACCTCTCCAGCCTACCTGTCCGTCCGTTCGTCCGATCTCATCCCACCTAAAAGATGGCTGTCAGCGCCGTGGGAACCTTTTTTATCGTCCTCGTCGTGCTGCTAGTTGTTTCCGCTATTGGCTGGATCGTCTTTACGCAACTGCGTGCCAGACGCCTAGGGGTACGTCGTAACTTTTTACTCTCTCGCGCATCGCCGTCATCATCGTTATCGTCATCATCATGGCCGTTACCATGCTTATGCCTGTCTCACAACCCCAACCATCATCTCCTCATATAGTCATCCTATAACTGCCAGCCAATCGCAAGTCCGCAGCCAACTATGTAAATAACATGATATGATGAAAAGCCTTCCCTTTCTACCCTGCAATACCATGCCATACCCGTACCCCTTGCGCCGGCATTCGTACCATGCGCGTGGTTTCGCCACATCGGCCGATCGATCTAGCTAGCTAACATATGAATGCTACCTCTATAGCTCCCTTCCCCACCTCTGTCCTCCTACATCCCCTTCGTGCGCTCCTCGCAGTCATCATATGGTGGCCCACAGCCGAGACCCGGTGGCGTCCGAGGATGGATAAGCGATCGCTTCCAGTCGCTTAAGAACCCGCGCTCAGCAGCCGGCGCATACGAGCAACCCAGCGCCCCCGTCGGCCGCCGCGGCTTCGGACCGCTCGATCCGGACGAAGCCTGGGACGCACGCGTCGGACACGAGACCTATGGCGTCGGCGCCTACTACCCCGGGGACCAGGAGCTAGAAGACAGGGGAGGATATCACGGGCGCGGGGGGGGTCCGTACTCGGGGGCCGACTACCAGATGAATGTCGCGGGCGATGGCGCAGACGAGAACAGAGGGCGCAGCCCCATCCCGCGTCCTAGTGGCTTGGATGCGCCTGCTGGTAGACCTACTGTAGGAACGGGAGGAGGCGCGCGTCAGAATCCCTTTGATGACGCTGCTGCCGAGCCGAGTAATCTCAGCTTAAGAGGTGTTAGTCCGAGACCCATTGATACGCGCACGGCGGCTGCTACTCCCGGCGCTACACATGATAGTCCCACGTCGGTTGCCGAGCGGAGGTCTGTCTTTAGAGAGGATGTATGATTCCGCGGACCATCCGATAGGGCCGAATCATATAAGTCAGCTAGCTATATGACTTCCCACATCATATTATCGAGAGCTTCAGCATGGTCAGGCTACAACACTCCACTATCAGCTTGAACAAGCTATCGAGTATGTGAGAAGTAAGCCGATTCTTACGGCAATAGTCACAGAGGACCGCGGGGCGGGCAAGAAGGAGAATTGTTTTCATAAAACAAAGTGTTCTTTCTTCGTACTTGTATTTTCATTATTGTGTCGATTGAGATGGGGGCAGTCTAGTCACGGCATGTTGATAGGAGCAGGGACGGCGTTTAGGCATCAAACACATTCATCAGTACCTAGGTATGGGTAAGAGACGGGGTGGCCCGGGTGGTCTCTACGATAAAAAGGAGAGCAGGCGTATTGAATATGATTATATTGTTTATGTTATTCCACTGGATTTATTTTTTTTCTCTTATCGTACTTGTGAGATTGTTATGCACTGCTGAACAATATCTCATTATTGAAGCTATTTGTTCTGTACTTATGATATAGGGTCAACTTGCTAGAGGTAGCAAAGAACTAACGATATAGGCAAGCAGATCTCTTTTTGAGGTTAGATAGATAGGTAAGTAAGTAAAGTTTGTTGGTACTCGAGAGGTTATATATAGCTGGAGATAGGTCCAACCTTTATCCATGCGTTCTTTCTTGTATGGATTAAAATAGCTATTTCTTGTTTTATATTCACATGACATAGATGTCGCTATATAAGATGATGCTGTATGGCCTAGACCAAAATTTTATTGTATGTTTTTAACATCAAACCTGGGAACTTACTGCCTGGGGCTTCTTAGTACCGTTACTTGTTTGTGCCATTAAGAGCTTAAGATGCGCAAAGTTTTTTGTTAAGCAGGGAGCTCTAAAGAGCGACAGGCATCATGGGTTCACGTACTGTAGGTACACACCTAACCTACAGCCTCGACAGCGTAGATCATTAGATTAGATAATAGTTTATCTACTATTACGTAGGTATCTACACTGTTGGTATAATCAGCCACAAAAGACGTCATAAGAAACAAAGAAAGAAAAAGAACAAAAAATGGTCCGTGTTTACGTAGCTAAGTAGGTAAACTAATTCGATAGGCTAAAAGATAAAGAGAACTCCGAATCGGGGAATCGAACCCCGAGCCTGACGGTATTTCGAATTCCTGTCTATACGAAGCACCAAGCAGGTGTATCGCACCAGACGGAAAAGTGAAAACGTCAAATGTTAACCGTTACACCAATTCGGAAAAGTTGGGACATCGATAGAACGATGCGTTTGCGACCTCGGCCGGACTCGAACCGACAATCTCTAGAGAATCAGACTTGTATGTCACCGAAATCTAGCGCCCTAGCCATTAGGCCACGAGGCCGTCGACCACTAGTGGTGGTGAATGGGATGTCCTGGCTCTATCGCAGACCCAATGTCTAGGCTCCATCCGCAGTGGGAGAAGGTGGTACTTTTATTAGTTCGTGTGATATTGATGGTTTCGGGCAGAAAAGTAGGTAGAATCATTTATAGAGAGTGCGCTGGTTGGTCGTGGTATAGCGGCGCCATGGGGTAGGTAGCAATATACCTTTAGGTTGACATGAAACATTGTGAAACTATCAAACTATGTAGTGGGTGTTATCATACCTCTCTAGTAAACAATGGAACTCCTGTAGTAGGCAAGGAGACTCTAGTTTATGTATGTCGCTTAAAGATGACACCGGGGAAGTTTTATTACACCCCTACGGTTGGTTCCTGACACTGGGGGCCTTATCTTTATATTCGAAATATCAATCTCCCAAAACCCCCTATACAACGAGACCCAACCATTAGGGCGTTATGACTTACTATCGGGTTCCTCAAGCATTGGCTATTAAGATCAAGATAGGACAGGAAAAGCTTTACTAGAATAGTTTTTCTTGAGATATTTCCATGAAGCCGAGGAAATTTCTCTCGACTATGATTAATCTATCCTAAAATTCTATCCGATTGGTAGCATGGGTTTTTACTTGAGACGCCATTACTCGGTGAAGCATACTATGGGAATTCTAAAAATATTATCTTGCAACGGGGACATCTTGCTTGATATTAAGACACCGGGATGATCGGAGGAGTGTTTGTGTATGTGCGAGCCCCTGTATTAATAAGAGAAGAAAACGCTTAAACTTAAGCATTGAAAGCTGAGTAAAAAATCAAGGCGAGTTTGCTGTGTTCGATGTAGTCTGAGCACTAACTTCGCCAGTAGAATGATAATTGTGTTGGAAATTTTGATATTTGAATTCTCGGAATTGGTTTGTCTCTCTGGGGTTGAGGGAGCAATGCCCTTGTCTGAGTGTATATAGTCGTAACCAGGCTCAATTTACCTCCCTTCCTTTCCTAATAGCAGTCTATCATCTATCACTCAACCCCCGGTTCTAGTTAAAATATTTCTTTTTTCGTCAGATACTCACCGATAAGTCCTGTTATAAACGGAGCCCCCACAACCCAGAATTGGTCATGGAACCAACGCCCGCAGCTCTCTGGCGACTCTAGATCAACGTCGTATATGTAATAAGCCAGCGCGAGGCTGACGCCCCCAACAGTACCCAAGAAATAGAAAGTTCCGAAGCCAGCCCAGAGCCCACACAGGGCTAAGAGTCCCACTTGGCATGCGCTGAGTACGCTGGCGAGTAGCTTTGTGCTGTGTCTAAATTTCAACGCCATGCCTTTCACACCGGCTTTCGCGTCATCAGCCACATCTTGGTGAGCATATATGGTATCATAGGTTATAGTCCATAAGATATTCGCTCCGAAAATGGCAAGCGTCGCTCTGCCTATATCTTCGGTCTCGATATCATTGTACTTTTGCCCCTGGCTCGGCGAATCATACAAGAGAGGCAGAGCAAAGGGGAAGGGCTCCATACCCAAGGCCGCAACGCAGAAGAACACGGCCCACGCGAACGGTACCCCGAGAACTACCTGCGGGTAGTACGTCACTCGCTTCATGAGAGCGTATACCCCGAAAAGGAGAATCATGATGAGGAAATGCGGCACGCAGGCCATCGGGAAACATAGGACGGTGACGGGGTATAGTACTGCAAGCTGCAGGGCGGTGAACAGGTGTGCCTGGGAAGTAGACACGGCGCCCCGGGCGACGGGACGGTGGCGGCAGCGGACAACTCGCCTATCGAAGTCTTGGTCGACGGTGTCATTCCATGTACAAGCCGCGCCGCGTAATACCATGTTGAAAGGCAGTAGTATTACTGCCAAGGACAGTAGTGTGGTAGGATCAGGGGCTGGTGAGGCAATGCAAGCACTATACACGAGGCCGATTAGGTAGGGGAAGTAGAAGGCATAGAGACCACCAGGTCGGTCTATACGCATGAGCTGGGCATAGGGGACCCAGGAGCGCGGTAGCTTGGATAGGACCCCTGTAGTGGGATCCGAGTAGGCGGGGAGATGTGGGAAATAGTTTGTGACGGGGCCACTATTACTTGGTATTTCTTTGGTGGTGTTGACTTGTATGTCATTGCTAACCACAGTCGTCTCTAAGAGGGTGGCAGGGGTGGTAGTGTGAGTCTTGGCCATTGTAGAATCACTGACTTTAAGGAACGGTGAGTGATAATATTTTAATATGAAGTTGGCTCTTATGGGCGAGGATAGGCCTGGACGTAGTACAAGTACGAGTTTGGAACGACGGCCTTTATATACACATAAGGCTTGGTGACTAAGGACTGCATACGAATCAGGAACTCAAAGCAATTTCTACTGCCAAAACGGCCTGTATGCTATCTCATGTCCGTAGTTGTCTACTATTGGTGCCCATGGCGCCTGCAATCGAGGTCATGAAGGTGATGTTTGTGGTGGTGTCCATTTTACCGCGGAGGTGCCACTCACCTGCATCGTGAGATATGCTGGGTCGGCTACTGGTATCGGTATTAATATGGACAAGTTCTTTGCCTAGCCCTCGACCCGAGACATACACGGGAGGGTAACGTGAGTATCGGCATAATAAGCGACTACTGTATGGCGCTGCAATGTGTTAGCGTATTATGTCTGAGAATGAGGCGTAGTCCCGCCCCGACGTAGCATCAATGGCCTTATCAAACGACCTTCGTATGGGGGATTCTCTTTTTATCTGGGTACCTGATTGTTGGAACCGGCGCTGGCGGCCGGTATCCCATTCTGGGTATTTGAATTTAGCAGAAATTTGTAGCTTTGGGCCAATCCACGTACTGGATCCTCACATAGACAAACTGTGCTTAGGGCTTTAAACAATAAGTTTCGATTTAGACTTCTATTTCAAACTCTTCGAGTCTTTTCCCTGTACCTAAGTAAATCCTAACATATTATAACAAAATGTCGATCATATTCTGGCCTTCCACGGCTCCTGCCGTTTTTGTGTTACCGTTGCTGATTTCGATCCTGATCGTTTGCATCTTCCTGCTTCCACCTCACCATCGATCTCGACTAATTGGTCGAGAGTATGCCATGCCCCCAGGGCCTAAAGGCTCTCTATTGCTCGGCTCACTACGACCGTGGCTTAAAGCAAGGAGAAACGGCTCCCTAGTCTCCTGGGTACGTTACTGATTTACCAAGCCTAGATGTTTCGTTCTCTGATGCCCATTTGCTGACTAGCCCATAGCTTCAGGAACAGGCCCAGTATGGAGAGATGACAACATTAAGTATGGGAACGAAAACCTGGGTCTTGCTGAACAGTGAGAGGGTTCTCAATGAGATAATTGCTAAGAGAGCCGGCGTCACTCATGAGAGACCATACTTCCCGATTGCGGGCGGGTTGGTCAGTAGGAACTACCGGCTCTTTTTGCAGAAGACAGAGAAGTGGAGAGAAGGCCGACGACTGCTACATCAGCTTATGATGGGAGAGCACTCAAAGGCTCATAGCAATCTCGCAGAAGAAACGAGCCTAGGGCTGCTGCAGGCCTACCTGGACGAACCTAATGCTTGGTATGCCCACAATTATCGATACCCCTTAGCCATCATCTATCGGATCGTTGCCGGCACAACTCTGCAGAAAAGCAGGGGTGATATGGAAGAATTACAGAAGGTGACATCGACTTTCTTAACTTCTATCAACAGCAGTCTTGTAGATTTCTTCCCGCAGATCAGCGTGCTGCCCAAACCTCTCCAATTCTGGCGGGGACATTGGGAAGCGATGGGAGACTTCCACTACAGCGTCTTCAAACATTGGTGGTTGGAGCTCAAGGACGAACATATCCCAGAATCCTCATTCGTCCGGAAGACAATGTTGGGAGAGTACGCAGGCTCCGACGATCAGGCCATGTATATCACGCTATTCATCCTCACTGCTGGCTCTGACAACCCTCGCATGACTATGAACGCGTTCATCATGGCTTGTATTGCGTGGCCTGAACCTATAAAGCGCATGCGGGTTGAGCTGGACCGCATATGCAGCGCTGACGCTTCTCGATTGCCTGCTATAGAGGACCTAGTAAGCGCGCCGTACACATCGGCAGTCATAAAAGAAGTGCTTCGGTGGCGGCCAACTGTGCCTCTTATTCCGCAGCGAGTGCTAGTCGAGGATCTTGAATTCGAGGGGTATAGATTCCCCGCGGGGACGGAGTTCCTTGTCAACACAATCTCTGTCTGTTCGCATGGGTTTGAAGACCCTGCCAGCTTCAAGCCTGAACGGTGGCTCGAGGAGAAAGGCGAAAAGCAGAATAATAACCAACCTGCCAATAGCGGCGTTCAGCACAATCTCTGGCAATTCGCTTTCAATGCGGGCAGGCGGTCCTGCGTAGGCTACAAGCTTGCACAGAAGGAGATGTTCATCGCGTTTTCTCGGTTAGTGTACTGCTTTGACTTTGCTCCTGCAGGAGGATTCGACGATAAGGAGCTAAACGCCTTCGCCCCGGGTCAGCCATTTCCTGTCAAGGTCACGGTAAGGTCCCCGGCACACGAGCGCCTCATCCGGAACGAAGCGATCAAATGTGGGATCTGGTGAGCCTGACGGCTATCGTGAATCGGGAAGGTCAGCAGCCACCCACACGGATGCACATCATGCCATCATAAACAGCCAATTCCCATGAGATATCAAGTCGTATTTGCAACGAGGACAACTATGCGCTCTGAACTCTTATCGCTGTAGTAATCATTCAAATTCGCCCTAAATACCGCAAATATAGATAGCATACATATATACCAGTTCTGGAATGAGAAGTAAATACTTAACCTACATTGGCTCGCGCGGAATGCTGCGGTAGCATTGTCCGCTCTTACGTACGATTCATTCCTCGGTCTGTGCCGCAAATCGACCCTCCCATGCAGCCCCCAATGCGACTTTCCGGCATGCGTGGGGAGGATCGCATCCGCATCCGTGTAGCCGCTGCGTGTGATGATCCCACCATTCTCCTGCAAGCCATC